AAATTTTAAATTGTGAACAAGATGGTGCTGAAGAAGTAGTACTTAGAAATAACTATATGTATTTCTTCTGTAGCAGTTCTTGATTTGCATGCCCTTTAAAGTGAATTATGATATATTGTTTGTATTTGTGTTACCATAAAATAGCATATTGTATGTTATTGTGTTTCTGAAACTTTAGCTTATTAAAATAGTGATGATCTCCTACAGTAGGAATATGTTTCACTCTTGAATCAATTGTGTAAAAATGTAAAATTCAGTAAATATATATGCTACCTATAGAAAAACTTGCTTTATTAGAATTTATGGATAATTATTAAAAGTTGAGTCTTAGGTACAATATTAATCTTGAGGTTCCTCAGGTACCAAATTGAAGGCTTCTCATACTTTATATGATTGAACTTCTTGTCATAGAAAATGCATTAATGATTAATAAATTATTGATCTATATTTTACCAATAAAGCAGAGAAATCTGTAAAGGCAGTCTTGAAAAAGTCATAGAGTATTTCTGTCTTTCATAAACAGGATTTTTTAAAATGATAAGTGTTTGGTATTGCAGAAGTAGAAATCTATAGATAAAACCGTTATTCAAAATAGTTGAAAAAGTTTGCGAATGTTTTAAGGGTTATTTTGGACAGTTGAGTCACAGGTAGCTCTGTGAGAACTGCGGGGAAAGCAAAGCATTGAGACACTAGTGCTGAGTCCAACTTACTGCTTTCATAGTTCTTTTCAAGTATTACATTGTTTTAATGGCATCTAGGAGCTTGAGCTTTAGCCCATTGTCTCATAAAGGACAGGTTCTTCTGTCACTAGCTGAAGCCATGTGGATGAAATGATAACAATAGAGTGTCGTAATGCATTTAAAAAGTGTGAGAAATCAGTTTGTCTAGACTAAGAGGGTGCCTACAGGAACTAGGAATTTTCGAGCTTCTCTGCCCTTTAGGTGTCAAGTTATGTGAGAGATGCCAAGCCTTTTTATTCTCTATCTTTGGCAGCAGCCCAACTGAGCTGCAGTACCTTACATGTCTACTGCTGGTGAAAACTGTGATTCTGGGTCTGGACAACTTGGGCTTTAAAAGTCATATTATCTTGAGAACTGTTTGTTCTAATGCCAACTTTCAATTGGGGGGAAATATCAATAAATAATTACCATAATTCAAGGATGTATGGGAACCATTGGTAGTTATGAATTAAAAAACAAAACAAAACACAAAACTCAGCAACATTTTATAGCCATCTGTTTTGAAGGGATTTTTCCATCCTAAAATCATTACATTTTATGGATAGTGGAAATCAGGAAATAAAAACAATTTTACATTCTTAAAAATATTGATTAGTTCTTAAAGAACTCTGGCAGGTATACATCACAATATAGAAGTATATAAAGAAAACAACTCTTCCAAGAAACCCCGGTATTATAGTGGATTATAAGCGAGGCTGCTAACTGAAGGGTCAGTAGTTTGACTATATCAGCTGCTCCTGGAAGGAAGTTGAGGCTTCTGCTCCCATAGAGTTTTATAGCCTTGGAAACCCTACCCAGGGTTGCTATGAGTCAGAACTGACTTGGTGGCACACAACTTCCATCACCATATTTTTCCAGATCCTAAAATAATATAAAATAAAATATGATAATATATATGTCTCATTTACATTAATTAAATTCAACTACCAATTAAGGAGCAGGTACTGAACACTGTCTGTTAATTAGTAATATTTTCATTTCCTAGGTTGTTTACACTTATTTTTGTCTAGTCCTTTATGGGTTTAAGAAATATATGTCTTGCATTTATTTGATTGTGAAAATATAGAATATTACCACATTTACCAATTTTTTTTTTCATATACAATGTAGTGAGATAAATTACATCAATCTTGTTGTGCATCCACTTATCACCAATGTTCTTTGCCATATTTATCATTCTCATAAACAAAACTGTTTTTAGTTTTAATGATAATCTGTAGATTTTTTTTTTAAGAACGTGCTCAATTGTTAAATGTGTATTTGTCACCTTGTTTTACATATACTATAAACCTGTGACTTTGTATGGGGGGGGGGAAGGGGGAGGAAGAAAAGAAAACAGCTAAGACTCTTTGCTATAGTCTCAACTTCCTGAGGAATTAATGTTGAGAGTTTAATTAATGTTGATGTTTATCTGTTCATATATATCTTAATGTAAAGAAAAGGCAAATCGCTCAAAGCTTCAGTTTCTGTGACTTATCTCAGAATGGAAGGGTTTCTGTAGAATTAGAAAAAGACTTTGTTTTCCTTAAGTGCTGTGTGGAGTCAGTTCTGACTCATAATCACCATGTATAAGGTTTCTAAGTTGCAGCTGATGGGCTTGAGCTTCAACTCTAGAGAAATAGAACATATCTGTTTATAGATAGAATATTAAATAGTAGCACTGTAGGATAAGCACTGGATTGCTAATCGCACAATCAGCGATTGAAACCCAAAAGCCCTATACAGGGTTGTTGCTCAGTGTCAAAACTGACATGGTGGCACTAACAACAAGAAAAAAACAGTTGTACATACTATGCTGTTATTGTATTGTTTTGATAGTTCCTCTAAACTGACAAGCTGTGACAAAGTGGTGGTGGTTGGTGATTATGTGCCATAGAGTCGGCTCCGACTCATAGCTACCCTGTACTGGGTTTCTGAGGCTAAGTCTTTTTGGGAGTAGAAGACCTCATCTTTGTTCCACGGAACAGCTGGTAGTTTTGTACTGCTGACCTTGCAGTTCACAGCCCAATTTGTACCACTGCGCTACCAGAGTGCTCCTTGTGACAAAGTAGGTATACCTAATAATTGGTGCAGGTGGAAAGGTATTGGGTTAAGCAGAAGACTGGTTGCCAACTAAAATAACTCTAAATGTTTGTTTTTTAGTCTTTTGGGCATAGTTACTTTTAGAGGCAGAAATAGTCTTGCTGTTTTCCCAGTACATACTACAGCACAAAGTACTTAGGCTAACTCATAATGTAGAGTTATAGACTGGAACTACAGATAAACATTAGTCTGAATTTGGATATACATTATAATGAAATAAAAATTCACAAACTGGGTAAAATTTCCTAGTTTTCACTGGTTTTATATGTTAACATGTATGTTTACTTTTTAGTCTGTTTTCAAGTTTACTGGCTTATTTAAGTTAGCTATGGACTTGTGTTTATCTATGAGAAGTATATGAGTGACAATAGTATGTTACTACTCTGATAGAATAAAGTGTTTTGCCATTGTTGTTGTTATTAATTACCGTGGAGCAAGTTGTGACTCATAGTGACCCTGTATTGGGTTTCTGAGGTGGGGTTGGTGAATTTGAACTGCAGACCTTGCAGTCCAGTGCATTATCCCACAACACTGGTCACCATTAGCACTAAATAAAGAAACCCTGGTGGCCTACTGAGTGACACATACGAATCGGGCTGTGAACCGCAAGGGCAGCAGTTCGAAACTACCAGCTGCTCCGCGGAACAAAGATGAGGCTTTCTGCTCCCGTAAAGATTTACAGCCTTGGAAACCCTGTACAGGGTCCCTGTGAGTCGGAACCGACTCCACGGCACATGACAACAACAACAACCACAAGATTAGCAGTTCAAAGCCACCAGCCACTCCTCAGAAGAAAAAAAATGAACCTTTCTGCTCAATGGCACATAACCCACAGCACTACCACTAAATAGAAACTTAGATTTTGAATTACCTTCTCCATTATTTTATGTCCTGACTGCTAATATTTTTGATAAATATCACTAATCTGGGACATCACCAGTTGAGCATTTATTGATGGATTAAACAAGCAGATAAACATTTACCATGTAGTTCATTCCACCTCATGATAACCCCAATGGTGTCAGAGTAGAACTGTGTTCCATAGAGTTTTAAATGGCTGATTTTTATTTTTAAAACTGTATCACCTGGCCTTTCTTCTTAGGAACCTCTGGATAGACTAGAACATTTAATCTTTGAGTTAGCAGCCAAGCATATTAACTGTTTACAACCCCTAAGGGCTACTATCATAAGAATATTACAATTAATTGATAAGATATAGACACCAAAATTTTTTGCATTCACCAGCTGAGTATTTGTTACTGAGTATAGAAGTGTAGAAAAAGAGAGTCAAGAAAGTTACTATTGTTTTCATCTTCCATTTCCACAAAAAGTATGCAATTCTTTTGGTTTACTTTAAATTAAATTTAAATAAAACCTCTTGGGGAGGTTTTAATGAAGGGCAGTAAACCAGAATGCTAATTAAAATTGTTAGTTGATTTTGTTTACAAAAAAATCTTCAAGCAGGCCTTACTCTGAAGAATGCTTTCTTGCTAGTGATTTGACAGGAGAAATTACTGATATCATATTATCTCTCTGATAACTACTTAGTTACACCTGCTCAGAAAATACAAACTTTTTTTTGGCTACATCTCATCTGTCAGCATAAACTAAATAAAGCCAGATCTAACCCATGGCCTTGACATTGATTCAAACTCAGCATACTCTTCAGGAATTATGGAAACTGCTGTGTAAAAAGGACCAGCAATCTTTATTTTTTTAGAAATGAACCCATTTTTCATTGTTCCTTTCTACTCTTAACACAGTATAAAATTTCCATGTATCAAAATAGCAATTTGTGGTAAAAATAGGAAGATAGTGGGTTAAATATGTTTAAAGAAATGGTTCAGAATATCTGGAAGGCCCAACTCTTTTCGAAGTGATAATTCTTAAGGAACTAATAGTTGTTGCTGAGTGCCGTGGAGTCATTTCTAATTCATAGAGACCCTGTTTAGCGTTTGGAGGAGCGGTTGGTGGGTTTGAACAACCAACCTTGAGGTTAACAGTCCGATGCTTATCCTACATATTTAGAATAAACAGGGAAAGATAAGCCAAAAAGCTAAATTAAAAAAAAATATATAAACAAATCTAAATAGAGTTAGATAAATATATAGAATAACACAAGTGCATTAGTGAGTATGTGGTTTGTTTGAAACATGTTTGTCTGATTGTTTTTTGTAGGATATCACTACTTTAACTGGAGTTCCAGAAGAGCATATCAAAACTAGAAAAGTTAGGATATTTGTTCCTGCACGCAATAACATGCAGTCTGGAGTAAACAACACCAAGAAGTGGAAGATGGATTTTGATACTAGGGAGCGATGGGAAAATCCTTTGATGGGCTGGGCATCAACGTGAGTACTTTGGTTTAACTTGACATTTTTTTTTTTCCACCTCTGTTTTTCTAAGTAGATTTTTCTGTTAAATGCACTGGTTTTCAGACTCATATACAGTACACAGAATGCTTTTTGAGACAGTTTGGTGCCCCAAAACATTTTAAACAAAAACACAGTTGTCCTTGAGGCAGTTCTGTGTGTGCCACAGTAAAACTGTGTTCCATAGTACTTTTTTTTTTTTAAATATTTTATTGTGAATTATATGACAGTTTACATGAGAGAACTTTAGTTTTACATTCATTCCATCGTATATCATTTCATTGCCATGGTTCCAAGCCCCTCCATGGATCATCTTCCGACCAAAGGGTATACCCGTCCTCTGCCCCCCCCCCCCCGCCCCAAGTCTTTGGCCCACAGTCCCTCTCCCTCTCTGGATCTAAAGTCCCCCAGCTGCTTCATCACTCCACGTCATCATCTCTGTCTCCATCTCAGGCATCTCTGCTTCTCTGGGTAGCGTCCCGCTCTCGGCGCCATAGTGTTTTTAATAAATGATTTTTCAAGCCTGTCTTCTAAGGTGACTCTGGGTTGATTCAAGCCACCAACCTTTTGATTAGCACATAGATGGACTGGCTTGGAGGATTTAACAGACTCCTAACCCTGATAACATAGGAGCACTATAAGGTCTACACATGTGCAATATAAAAAACATGACAAATACAACACCTTTAGAGGTCATCTCTGTATACCTTTGGAGTTTTTTTCACAGACTTGCTATGAATACACAGATAAAAAAGTACGTGTATGTTCATTGCTTGAGAAGACAGGCAGTATTAAACTACTTTTACAGAGTTAACTGTGGGTGGTAATTTTGTGACAGCTTGAAATCATAAATGTTTTCTGCACATTTGGGGGGAAGGGGAGAAGCATTGTCATTATGAAAATGGACTTCATGACTGTGAACATGGTTTGATTGTTATTAAGTTGGTTCCAACCCATAGTGATCCTGTATATGGTTTCCAAGGAGCAGCTGGTGAGCTTGAACCACTGATCTTGTGGTTCAAACCGACTTTGCAGTATAGCGCATGAACCCACAGTGCCACACCAGGACTTTGTGAACATGGTTTACGTTTTTAAAATTACCCTTAATAAATATCATTGTTAACTGTGTGTAGGTTTTTTGTTTTTGTTTTCTTTGCATAATTTCAAAAGGGCAATTAAAGATGAATATATTTGATAATAAACCCAACAAAATTTCTTTACCAAATAATTTTTAAATCCTTGTTAAGATATAAATTTCACATGTTAAAAAAAAAAAATTTGTATGTATTTCACTTTCTATATTGGAGTTTCTTCTAATGCTCTTTTAATTGCCTGTAAACCTCAGAGGTAAAATATTTGTGTTTGTGTAAACATAAAATGTTGTTAGGTGCCATCAAGTCTATACCAACTTATAGCAATATTATGCACAACAGAATGAAACACTTCTAGGTCCTGGGCCAACCTCATCATCATTACTACATGATTTTCATACATAGTTGCAGTTGCTACTATGCCAGTCCATCTCCTTGGGAGTGTTTCTCTTTTTTGTTGACCTACCACCTTACCAAGCCTGATGTCCTCCTCCAGGGACTGGTTCCTCCTGGTAATATGTCCAGAGTAGGAGAGACAAAGTCTGGCCATCTGACTTCTAAGGAGCATTCTGGCTGTACTTCTTCCAATACAAATTTGTTTGTTCCTCTGGCAATCCATGGTATTTTAAATACTCTCCTTCAACACCATAACTCACATGCATCAATTCTGAGTATTAGTTCTATGGTCTTCCTTATTCATCATCCAATTTTCATATGCATATGAGGTTATTGAAGGAGCTCTGGTAGCGTAGTGGTTACGAATCGGGCTGCGAACCTTAAGGTCAGCGGTTCGAAACTACCAGCGCGCTCCGCGGGAGAAAGATGAGGCTTTCTACTCCCGTAAAGATTTACACCCTCGGAAACCCTGTACAGGGTCGCTATGGGTCGGAACCGACTCGACGGCACTTAACAACAACAAACATGAGGTTATTGAAAGTACTGTGGCTTGGTCAGGTGCATGTTAGTCCTCAAACTGGCATCTTTGCTCTTGAACACTTAAAAGAGGTCTTGTGCAGCAGATTTGCCTAATGCAATATCATTTATTTCTTGACCGCTGCTTCCATAAGTGTTGATGGTTGATCTGAGCAAAATGAAGTTTTGACAACTCTAATCTTTTCTCCATTTATCTTATTGTTATATGAAGATAGAAAAGCATCCTTTGATTTTTACTGTTTAAATCTCTATAGTACATTTTTGGTTGGGGAGGAAGGATGAGTTGCCCATATTTAGTATGTAGCTAGTTGTCTGAAGTTACTTTTGATTATGAGCTTTATATAAATCTTTAGAACCTTTTATCTGTTAGATTGGTAAGTTTCTTGTAAATGACTTTGATAAAACCCATTGGATACAATAGTTTATTATAATTTCATCACTTTTAATGAATATAACATGAAAATTTAATTTTTTTATTATCAAATTAGTAGCCCTGGTCGTGTAGTGAGTTAAGAGTTGGGTTGTTCATTGCAAAGTTAAGCATTCAGATACACCGACCACTCCATTTATGTGTCAGCTCTCGTAAAGATTTACAGCCGTGGAAAACCTAAGGAGCAGTTCTGTTTTCCTCTGTACTGTGGGGGTCTCTGTAAATTGTATTCAGTGTGGTGGCAGTGGATGGCCTATTATAGAATTATGAATCTGTTGTTCAGCTTCTGGAAGCAGTGGTGTGTGTGCCATACCATCATGGACCTAAAAGATAATCAAATTTAAGCAGAAGTGTACACTTATTTAGATGTTACTTATTCTGTCATGGGAGTTCTGATGTGGCTTTGTAGGATAAGCACTAGACTGCAAGGTTGGTTTGAACTGCGGTTCAAATTCAGCAGCCACTCCTTGTAAACTCTATAGGGTCACTCTGAGTGGAACCAACTTGACAGCCCTTAACAATAGCGTTCTGTTATGGGAGCCTTGGTGTGGTAAGTATAGGGTAAGTACTGGACTGCTAAGCTCAATGTTATTTGTTCAAACTTGCCAGCCACTCTCAGAAACCCTGTGTAGGGTCTTAGGAATTGCAGCTGACTCGAAGGCACACAACATAAACAATCAGACCTTAATAAGTCAGCAAAGTAAATGTCAGGTTTTTCGATCATTCTTTTGCTCATGAATAAGTAGCAAGTACCAGTTACTCCTTGGAAACCCTGTATAGGGTCGCTATGGGTTGGAATTGACTCGATGGCACTTAACAACAACAATAACAACTGCACCAAAAAAGAGGATGATCCCAACAAGATGGATTGACACAGTAGCAGCACAAATGGGCTCAAATATAATGATGATTTTAAGGAAGGCACAGAAACACTCTTTCATTCTGTTGTGCATAGGGTCGCTATGAGTTGAAATTCACTCAGCACCACCTAACAGCAACTAAATGGAATGCAAGTATTCTCTATTACCTTCTTTCTCCATTACACTGCTCCACCATGTTGCAAAACCACATTTTTATCTGCTTTAATGAAATGGTTAGATTTTGTTAATATATGTTTTTAAATGAAGAGTTCTACTTTTCTTCTCTAAGTTATTGCACAAATTATTGTATATGTTCTCATAGATTTAATCAACAAAAGCGTATTTATGATAAGTCAAAAACTCTTACTAAAAAATAGTGGAAACCTTTTTAAACAAAAATACCAAAATGTGAAGATACTATTTTCTTGACATATCTTCTCCATCTAAGTTTATACACCTCCTAAGGTAATATTTTCATCTCACTAACACTTCTCGAAAGAATTCTGTACTCATTGGTTTATACCATGTAAGAATAGCACTTTTGGCATACTCAAGGGACTCAAATCATGATGAACCTGACCTATACTCAGAGAGGTAGTCACTCTAAATACCAATAGAGAGGGAAAGAGTCTTCAAATCAAGTATCAATGCTATCCACTCTGTGCACAGGGTAGATAGGGACGGGCAACTTAGACATTGACTACCTAAAATGAGGGGACAATAAAGGCACGAAGTGACTGGCTTACAAGGTTTCAAGAGGGAGTTTAGTTTAAGAATATGGGGAGAAAGAAAGAATCCCTACTGAATAGCTGTCATCTTGTCTAGATGGGTCTGGTGAAAGGAGATGGGGATAAGATTCGTAAGATTCAATAGTGACTAATTGTTATCATTACTAATCGCGATTGCCACACTTGTAATGGTAGAAGTTTTGTAACAAAAAAAAGGGGGAGTGTTTAATCTTACAGTCCAGAAACAAAGGACCCTAGGACCATCAAGAGAGAAACGCACAAGCAGAATGCGGGACCTTATCCAGAGAAGCAGCAGCGCCAGAGATGGAGTCAGAGATGGGCGCATGGAGAGGGGGAGCGGCTGAGGACTCTAGATTCATCAACTAGGAAGAGAAGGACTAAGCACTGGTGGCCAGGAGCAGACTTTCAGAATATGCCCTTTGGTGATGTAAATTATTATATATGCCTGAGAGGGTGTTTTTGTTTGTGTGTTTTTTAAAAAAAGCTAAAGTGGATAGAGAGAAATACTTTTAACTGATGGTATATGGAGGGGATTATAATCAATGTAATGAAACAAACAAACAAAAAAAGACAGCCTAATAAGACTAGTTCATTGTCAAAAAGAACATCTCAAGATCTGTCTTGAAATGCAATGATATCTGTAATAGAATAATAACCATACCACCACTTTTCAAATTTATGCATGAACCACTAAGTCAGTGGTGATAGAACTGAATTCTACCAGTTTCTTAAGGCTGAAATTGATCAAACATGTAATCAAGATGCATTGATAATTACTGGCGATTGGAATGCAAAAGTTGGAAACAAACAGGAAGGGTTAGTAGTTGAAAAATATGGCCTTGATAGAAAAGATGCTAGAAACCACATGATGCAATTTTTCAAGACAAGTGACTTTCATTACTAATTATTTTCAGCAACATAAACAGCAACTATAAATGTGGACCTCACAAATAGAATACACAGGACTCAAATCAACTACTTCTATGGAAACAGACAATGGAGAAACTCAGTGTAATCACTTAAAACAAGACCAGTGACTGAGTGTGGAACAGACAATTGATTGCTCATATACAGATTCACGTTGAAGCTGAAAAAATTAGAACAAGTCAACAAGAGCCAAAATAAGACCTTGTGTATATCCCACTTGAATTTAGAGACCATCTCAAGACTAGATTTGACACGAGTAACATTAATGACTGAAGGCTTACTAGCTATCTTCATGAAGAAAGCAAAGATCATTTAAAAAGACGGTTAAGAACAAAAGTAGATATCAGAAGAGACTCTGAAACTTGCTCTAGAATGTACAGAAGCTAACGTGAATGGAAGAAATGATGAAATAAAAGAACTTAATTGAAAATGTCAAAGGGTACCTCAAGAAGACAAAGTTAAATATTGTAATGAATGTGCAAAGACCTAGCATTAGAAAACTAAAAGGGAAAAACACTCAGCATTTCTCAAGCTGAAAGAATTGGAGACAAAATTCAAGCTTTAGATTACAGTATTGAAGGATTCTATAGCGTAGTAGTTATGAATCGGGCTGCAAAATGCAAGGTCAACAGTTTGAAACTACCAGCTGTTCCATGGGAGAAAGATGAGGCTTTCTGCTCCTGTAAAGATTGACAGCCTCAGAAACCCTGTACAGGGTCACTATGAGTCGGAAACGACTCCACGGCACATTACAACAACAACATGGGTAAAATATTGAATGATGTTCAGGAAGCATCAAAAGATGAAAGGTATATAGTTACTGTACCAAAAAAAATTTGGTCAATGTTCTGCCATTCCAAGAGGTAGCATATGATCAAGAACTGATTATGTTGAAGGAAGAAATTAAAGCTGTACTAATGACATTGGTGAAAACCAAGGCTCTAGGAGTTGATGGAATACAAATTGAAAGGTTTCAACAAACTGATGCATTGTTGGAGGCTCTAACTAGGTCTGTGCTAGAAATCTGTGGCCAACTCACTGGAATATGTCTATATTTGTGCTTATTCCAAGGATAGGTGATCCAGTGGAATGCTAAAAATTGTTGCACAATATCATTAATATTACATGCACGTAAAAATTTGCTGAAGAAAATTTTAAAATGGTTGTAGCAGTACATTGAGGGGCAGCTACCAGAAAGCCCAGATTCAGAAGAGGACTTGGAACAAGAGATATCATTGATGATGTCAGATGGATCTTTATTGTGTGGATCACAACACAGTTTAGAAAAGGAAACATTGCGAAGAATGGGAAATCCAGAACATTAATTTTGCTCACATGGAACTTGTACATATACGAAGACACAGCTGTTCAAACAAAACAAGGTTATACTGAATCATTTTATATTGGGGTAGGTGTGTGTCAGGGTTTTATCTTTTTGCTATACTTATTCCATGTTTATTTATCTGTATGCTGAGTAAATAATCCAAGAAGCTAGAATGTGAAGTAGAGTGTGGCATCAGGATCGGATACATTAGCAACTTGTGATATGCAGATTGCACAACCTTGCTTGCTGCAAACCAAGAGGCCTTGAAATACTGATGAAGATCAAAGCCTATAGCTTTCATGGTTTGTACTATCATGTAAAGAAAGCAAAAATCCTCACAAATGAACCAATAAATAACCAATAAACTGACAAAAGATTTCATTTTACTTGGACCTACCAAGGGAGCATTGGTGTAGAAATCAAACAATATGTTGCATTGGGTAAATCTGCTGCAACAAATTTCTCTAAAATATTAAAGAGCAAAAATGTCCCTTTGAAGACTAAGGTGTGCCTGGTCCAAGCTGTAGTGTTTCCATTTGACCTGTATGCATCTGAAAGCTGGACAGTTAATAAGGAGCACAGGGCATTGATATATTTGAATTATAGTGTTGGTGAAGAATATTGAATGTCCCAGGAGTTGCCAGAAGAACAAGAAAATTTGTCTTGGAATAAGTACAGCCAGATTGATGGTGGCGAGACATTGTCTCTCATACTTTGGACATGTTATCCGGAGGGTCCAGTCCCTGGAAAAGGACACCATGCTTATTAAAGTGGAAGCTCAGCAGAAAACAGGAATACCCTCAGCAAGATGGAGTGGCACAATGGTTGCTGCAATGGAGCTCAAATACAATTGTGAGGATTGCTCATGACTGACCATTGTTTCTTTTTATTGTACATAGAGTTACTATGAGCTGAACCCAGCCTGAGAGCACTTAAAAGCATCACTATAATGCATGGGAAAGCTGTTGTTGTCAGGTGCCATCCAGTTGGAACCGACTCACAGTGACCCCATGCACAGCAGAACGAAACAATGTCCGATCCTGGGCCAACCTCACTACTGTTGCCACACTTAAGTCCATTGATGCTGCCACCTGGCCAATCCCTCTCATTGGGGGTCTTCCTCTTTTTTCTCTGACCCTCCACCTTACCCAGCATGACATCCTTTTCCAGCACTGTTCCCTCCTGACAACATGTCCAAAGTATGACAGATGAAGTTTGGCCATCTTGGCCTCTAAGGAGCACTCTGGCTGTACTTCTTCCAAAATGGATCTATTGGTTCTTTTGGCAGCCCATGGCACTTTTAGTATTCTCCTCCAACACCATAAATCAAAAGCATCAATTCTTTTACGTTCTTTCTTATTCAGTGTCCAGCTTTTGCATGCATATGAGGTTATTGAAAATACCATGGCTTGAGTTGTGGAAAGCTAGAGAATAAATAAGACCAGAAAAGAATTGATACCTTTGATTTAAGGTATTGATTGGTAAAGGATATGGTCTGACAGAAGAATGAACAAAGCTGTGTTTACAGAAGCATCAACAGAATGCTTCTTAGAGACTTTGTCTCATATACTTTAGACATGAGGAGAGATAAGTTCCTGGAGAAGAACATTAACGCTTGGTATAATCGAGGATTCGTGAAAAAGAGGTAGATAGAACTGACACCATGGCTGCAACAAAATGGGCTCCAGTATAGCAGTGGTTTGGGGGATGCTGCAAAGCTGTAGGATAAGTACTGGACTGCTAACTGCAAGCTCATCACAAGGCTGGTGGCTCAAGCCCAGCAGCCACTCCTCAGAAGTCCCATAAAGGGTCACTATGTGTTGGACTTAATAGCACTTAACAACAACATGGCCAGGAAATGTTTCATTCCGTTTCACATAGGGTTACTATGATTCAAAACCAATTCGACAATGTGTAGTCTTATAAATCTTATGTAAACCATTCAGCCATTACCCAAATTGGAACCTAAGTAATTGAGAGTTGAACAAGTAAAATAGAAAAATAAATGAACTAATAATACTGAGTGGAAATTTTAAAAAGAGATTATATAGTTCATAGACATTTTTAAATACCACTGTAGGAGATTGAAGATCATTTTGTAGGCAGCAGAAACTACTTAAAAGTTTTTGAGTTGAGTAGCGAGTTTGGAAGTTGAATTTTAGGATGATATATCTGGCAGCATATTGAAGGTTGGACTGAAGTAAAAAACATGAAAGAGTATTATAATTTAGGGAAAACTTAAAGGGGGCGTATAAGATGGTAGTAGCAGCATACTAGTGAAAAAACGGAAACAGGAAATGAAATAGAATGAGGAGGGTCAACAGTGGCATATTGATGTAAGTCATTTACCTGAGTTGGGTAATGGCTGAATAGTTTACATAAGATTTATAAGACTACACATTGTCTGGGGGATTCCTAGTAATTAGTACATGTACTCTTACCATAAACAATCCCCCACAACTCACCCTCAATAAGCAAAAAAAACTTCACAAACTTGAGTATACTTTATTAAAATAAGTAACTTCATATTGGTTCCTCCTAATCTCATCAGTAGTGTGCTTATTTCATATTGGCAGCTTATTTTCTAATCATTTTTTAAAACTTATTTTTTAAACCAATGTTTAATGTTGAATCCTGAAAAAAAAAAATTGTTTCTTACAGGGCTGATCCATTGTCCAACATGGTTCTGACCTTCAGTGCTAAAGAAGATGCAGTTGCCTTTGCAGAAAAAAATGGTATGTTTGATCTGTTTTTGATGAGAAATATAGAATTTGAATTGAAATATATCTTATTCAGTGGTTTTTAGACTTTATAGCATCAGAACTTACTACCTACTCCAAATAAAAAATCCAAAAGGGATCTCCAGTGTACACATAAAACACCAACAGCTCTGATTTAGCATCAGAGGCTAAGAATGCTCATCTAGTTTCCTCCCTTTTCCATGAAGCCCTTTATAGAATTGCTATTGTTGTTAAATGCTGTTGAGTCAGTTCCGACCCATAGCGACCCTGAACAGGGTTTCCAAGGCTGTAAATCTTTACGGGAGCAGAAAGCCTCATCTTTCTCCTGCGGAGCAGCGCGTAGTTTTGAACAGCTGACCTTGCGGTTTGCAGCCCAATTCGTAACCACTACGCTACCAGAGCTCCTTCTATAGAATTACTAACATTTAATTATCTAAATAGTACTTGGTTTTATCTTCTCAAGCTGATCTTTGAAATTTTCTGTTCAGCTTTTGGACTTCTTCAATTCTTCTATTTGATTTAGCATCTCTATGCTGGAGAGCAAGTTTCAGAGTCTCCTCTGACATCCATTTTGACCTTTTTCCTTCATTCTTGTCTTCTTAATGACTTTTTGCTCTCTTCATGTATGATGTTCTTGATGTCATCCCACAACTCTTCTGGTCTTCGGTCTTCAGTGTTTAATGAATCAAATCTGTTCTTCAGGTGGGATAAATTCAAGGTCATATTTTGGTTCTCGTGGACTTGTTTTCATTTTCTTCAGCTTCAGTTTGAATTTGTATATGAGTAATTGATGGTCTGTTCCACAGTGTGCCCCTGGCCTTGTTTTCACTGATGATACGGAGATTTTCCATCTTCTCTTTAAAATATGCAAAGGTTTGGAACTAGCAAACCAAAAGGGAAGAAGACACTCAGCTTTTCTCAAGCTGGGGGAACTGAAGAAAAAATTCAAGCCTTGACTTTCATTATTGAAAGATGCAGAATGCATCAAGAGAAGATGGAAGGAATATACAGAATCATTGTATCAAAAGGAAATGGTTAATGTTCAGCCATTTCAAGAGGTACCATATGAACAAGAGCCAATGATACTCAGGGAGGAAGTCCAAAGTGCATTGAAGGAATTGGCAAAGAACAAGGCACCAGGAATTGATGGAATAAAAATGGAAATCTTTCAAAAAAGTGAGGCAGCACAAGAGGCACTCACTCATCTCTGCCAAGAAATTTGGAAGACAACTATCTGGCCGACCGATTGGAAGAGATCCATATTTGTGCCCATTCCAAAGAGAGGTGACCCAACAGAATGCGGAAATCATCGGACAATCTCTTTGATATCTCAAGCGAGAAAGTTTTGCTAAAGGTAATACAGAAATGACTACAATCATACATTGACAGAGAACTTCCAGAGGTTCAAGCTGGATTCAGAAGAGGCCGTGGAACGAGAGATATCATTCCTGATGTACGGTGGATCTTGGCTGAAAGCAGAGAATATGAGAAAGAAGTTTACCTATGCTTTATTGACTATGCAAAGGCTTTAGATTGTGTGGATCATGACAAGCTATGGACAACATCGACAAGTATGAGTATTCCAGAATACTTAATTGTACTTCTGAGAAATCTGTACCTGGACCAAGAAGCAGTTGTTCGAACAGAACATGGGAACACTGACTGTTTTAAAATGGGGAAAGGTGTGAGACAGGGTTGTATTCTTTCACCATACTTACTCAACTTGTATGCTGAGCAAATAATACGAGAAGCTGGGTTCTATAAAGAAAAACGTGGGCATCAGGATTGGAGGACGACTCATTAACAACCTTCGATATGCAGATGATACAACCTTGTTTGCTGAAAGTGAAGAGGACTTGAAACATTTACTGATAAAGATCAAAGAGAACAGCCTTCGGTATGGGTTGCATCTCAATGTCAGGAAAACAAAAATCCTCACCACTGGACCAATAAACAACATTCTTATCAATGGAGAAAAGATTGAAGTTGTCAAGGACTTCATTCTTCTTGGATCAACTATCAACACTCACGGAAGCAGCAGTCAAGAGATCAGATGACGTATTGCACTGGGCAAATCTGCTGCACAGGAACTTTTTAAAGTGTTGAAGAGCAGAGATGTCAGCTTGAGGACTAAGGTGCGCATGACCCAAGCCTTTCTCTATGCCAAGCTTATGTTACAAAGCTTTTTTAGGGCTGCTGATTAATTCCACAGTACAAACCACTCCACCACAAATCTCAGCTTAAAGGGTCTTCACTCTAGCTCAGTGGGTCAGCAAACCTATAATTCTCCTACTATAGAGCCAGGAGACACTCCACTCTACAGGTATGCTTCCTGCCCAGTCACTGCACTGTCCTTGCTCAGTAGCACCACATGTCTCATGCTTGGGTTCCTGTTTCTGCGGCTGCAGCTCCTCTGCTACTCACTCCTCCGGACAATATGTCCAAAGTATGACAGACAAAGCTTAGCCATCCTGGCCTCCAAGGAGCACTCTGGCTGTACTTCTTCCAAAACAGATCTATTGGTTCTTTTGGCAGTCCATGGCACTTTCAGTATTCTCCTCCAACACCACAACTCAAAGACATCAATTCTTCTACAGTCTTCTTTATTCACTGTCCAGCTTTCACATCCATATGAGGCTATTGAAAATACTATGGCCTGGGTCAGGCGCACCTTATTCCTCAGCACAGCATAGGAGAGGCTGTCTTGACTAGAATAGCTGTACCTTGAGTATTTCTGACTGTAAATTGTAACCTGTTAACCTCCCAAGGAAACTCTATAATTGTGAATATGTTGTGTGAGTTCCACATGGCCATTGCAATGAGTTATCAAACCCAACTGAGAAGAAGGGAGGGCTATGAGAGGTATGGTTGTTGCTTATCATTTTTGAAGGTTGATGGTGGTGACTATGTGCCTTGGAGTCAGTTCCAACTCATAGTGACCCTGCATAAGGTTTCCGAGGTGATAAATCTTTATGGGAGCAGAACAGCTGGTAGTTTGGAATTGCGATGTCAAGGCTAGCAGCCTGACTTGAAATGACTACACTCCTAGAGCACCTTGTTGTTGTTGTTGTTGTTGAGTGCCATCGAGTCGGGTCCGACCCATAGCGACCCTGTACAGGGTTTCCGAGGGTGTAAATCTTTACGGGAGTAGAAAGCCTCATCTTTCTCCCGCGGAGCGGCTGGTAGTTTCGAACCGCTGACCTTAAGGTTCGCAGCCCGATTCGTAACCACTACGCTACCAGAGCTCCTTAACTGCATTTAAATTTATACCTAATGCATCCAGTTATTCCAGTGTTAGTTACTTATTCCAATCAGTTAGTATCTTATGTGCATTATTAATGTAAGGCAACTGTAAATGTAGAAGATAATTATTGTTAAACATTTTTGACATATAAATATGAAAGTACTAAAAAGATTATTATTTAAAATAATGTCATTTACCTTTCCTTATGTGGTGCAGTAGGATAAGCACTAAACTACAAACCACAAGGTTGGCGGTTCAAACCCACCAAGTGCTCTTTGGAAACGCTGTACCAGAAACTTTATGAGTGTCAACTAAATGACATTTAACCACAACAACAAAATTAAGAGTCCTAAGCCAAACTACATGGTTTAAATTCATGTGTGTCACTTCCTAGTTTATAGGAAATTCACACTTTTTAAAAAAATATGTTTTGTCATTCACTTTGCTGACATCTACAGTGGGAATTGCTGAGGATTAAATTAACTTTAGAAAAGAAAAGTCCTTGATAGTATACAGTAGTGCTTAAGAGCAGTCATGCACATGCATAGCATCTGATAGGACCATGTCCCATAGGTTCTGATAGAAACCTCAATCAAATAAAATAACATGACAGTAGCTTCACTCATGCAACACATGTAAATGATGTGACTGCACTGTCAGCCTTGTAATGGTACAGTACATACTACCTAAAAGTAGTACACATACCACCTGAAAGATGAATGTCCTCACAGTCATAATGAACACTTACTTTAGTACCTTATGTCTATACTGTATGGTATCTTCTGTCTAAAAATTTGTTGTGTAACAGTGGATGCTTTGACTCGTGGGCAGCAGTACTCGGTCTTGTGTTATAGCATCTGTGTCTCTTTAATTTTCTTTTGAAAACATTACTGTGAAATTATTCATAGCTTCTAAAAGCAGTGAACTAGTGCTAGTGATAATAGAAGCAAGAGAAAAAAGAGAAGTATCATTTTGGGAGTTAAACAAAAGGTAACTGAATGGAATGTTAGGAGGAGAATAAGGGAATGCATGAGTTAGGCATGTCTTTGTGGGCAGTCATAATCCTCAAAACCAGAGAAAAAACTCTCCAAGCTATTAAAGGATTGGATCCACTGAAAGTTACAAGTCTTAATGAAAATGTGAGCGCGACATATTAGTCAGTTATGTGCCATCAAGGTGGTTCTGACACATAGTGACCTAATTATACACCAGAACAAAACACTGTCTTGGTCTGCGCCAACTTCACCTTGTTGTTATGCTTGAGCCCATTGATGCTTCCACTGTTGGTGGTCTCCTTCTTTGCTGACTCTCCACTTTACCATGATGTCCTCCAGGGACTCGTCCCTTCTGATAATATGTCTGAAGTATGAGAGTTGAAGTCTGGTCATCTAGAGAGCATTCTGGTTGTACTTCTCCCAACACAGATTTGTTTGTTCTTCTGGCAGTCCTTGGTACTTTTAATGTTCTTCTCTAGCACCATAAATCAAATGCATCAGTTCTATGATCTTCTTTATTCATTATCTAGCTCTCACATGCCTTTAAAGCTATTAAAAATACCATGGCTTGGGTCAGGCTCACATTAGTCCTCAAACTGACATCTTTGCTCTTCAACACTTAAAAGAGGTCTTGTGTAGCAGATTTGCCTATTGCAATATGTAGTTTGATTTCTTGACTGCTGCTTACATGATTGCTGATAGTGGATCGAAAAAAAATGAAATTTTTCACAATTTCAAACTTTTCCCCTTAATCA